ACACACACACACACGCGCACACACTCTCTCTGATTAGCCAATATAGTTTGCAAGAGAGATAGGACGCGAATGTAGAGATGATGGTTGCGGCACAGTGCAACAGCTATTGTGTTTCAGCTTTGCTGAAAGTCGAACAGCCCAAGCACCGGATATGATCTGAGCATGCAAGATGTGCTCCTGTGACCACCGGCACTGAAAAAGGAGCTTCGCTGTTCCCATGGCCAACTATCAAGCAGGTGGAATGCGGGGTAAGGGAATCGCAAGGACACTCCTCGAGTTCGAACTGCTTGAGTGCCAGGTCTCACCGACTTCCGAGACATGTACGACCTTGAGGGTTCTGAATCTGCGTAGTCTGAACCCAAGCCTCAGGCTGGGATACACAGGGGTGCCCTATTTCGAGGAGTCCGGTGGTTCTTGGCAACTGGCTCAGGTGCCACCGGCTTCTAAGCCTGAGGTGTTCGCCCAGTTTCACGGCGCAGGGCGCAGGGTATCTGAGCTGAAGCATTAAACAAAGTGTTCATTCTCGGGGCTACGAGGGATAGGACAATGTTCTGATTTATTGCCTTCCCAGGGCCCAGATGCTTTCTGTTACCTTGCGTTGCAGCCAGGCTCAAAATGAGCCCCACTGCAGGAAGCGAAAAAGCATTGTCCAAGTTTCCGCAGTGATAGCTTGGTGGCCCGAAGAGCAGGAAAAGTGAGAAGCATCAGAGGGAAAGCAAGCGCCATCTACATCTAATAAACTCTCTTTTCCCCATCGCCACCACCATCTTCATCAGCTGCCGGCATCATCCAGTTGCAACAGGAGTGGTGTTGGTCGCAGGGGCGGGGTGATGGTGTTGCAGATTGGATGAGTCGTTGTCGTCACTGTACTAGTAGTTAGTAGTGCTACCACCACTTCTGCGATATTGGTAATAGCAGTAGTAATGCACGCAAGCCGAGAAGCAGAAGAGATAGAACCGGATCCAAGAAGAGTGCTAAAGGAAGTAGCCAATGCGTGCCGTGTTACGTCTGATTGAACAGGTCGTGAAAGAGACCATCCTCACTGAAACCTTCTCCTTGGAGGGGGGCTCCTCGAAGGACAGAGCTGGGTGAAAGTTTGCGATCTGGTCTTGAAGAGGGGGTTTCTAATTTGCTTGGGTTCTCTGAGGGTCCTCGAATCAAGAATCCGGCTGCAGTTTAAAGCTTAGGATCTATCGTTGGGGTCCCTTGTCCTACTGCAAAGTTCCCAAACACAACTGGACTTTGAAGCCAGGAGCCCAAACAGCAAGAACTTCCCATCCTGGGCCTCACTTGACCCAGCGTCCCATCCGGCGCACGCAGTTAAACCTCAGCAATCCGGAGACTTGAACCTCAATTCCTTAATGGCAATAGCTCCCACACCTCAAAACCCTCGATCCCGCCTGAGCTTGAGACCCCGAAGCCCAGACCCTCAACCCTAAGACCACGAGTCAAAGCCTGAACCAAAGCCACCAAATCCGAAGGCCCCAAGCTCCGGCTCGTCAAGCTAAAGGGGATCTTAACAAGCACTCTTAAAGCACGTTACAAAAAGCCGTCAAAGCCCGAAGAAAGCACCTTCCGAAACCTACAATGCTTGCAATTCTTGAGCATGCGCGAGCTCGCGAAGCGTCGGAGGACCCGCGGAGGTTGCGGCCGGGGGAACTCGTCGAGGTCGGGTCACAGAAGATTTCTGCATCAAACGTGGGATACGAGTGGGAATATAGGAGCCTAGGAGCCTGACCAAGTGGGGCTTTGGGGATGCTTTGGGGTATAGGGATACTGTGTTCAGGAGCATC